GAGTTTGCAGCTTTAGCTATATAGAGTATATAGCTTTAGCTATATAGAGTTTCAATCTGTTATGCTAAAATTTTACTAGCCAAAAACTGTTTTTATATTAAATGGGTGCCTTCCATTCCCCCCATGTGCTTCTCCTTTTCACAGTCTGGCAGAAATGATGGGTGGTTCCAAAATACATGGTCACGTGACAGTAAAAGTGTATACAGTTGCCAAGAAACAGGGGGTGGGTCAACTTACCCACTGGCTCAATTTACCCCAATCTCCCCTACTTCAATTGAAGATGAGGCAGAAGCAGGCTCAGAGAGGGAGGGAGGGCCCATTCTTATAAAAAAACATCTACGATAAAGTCTGAAATTATTACAGAGTGTGCTGTCTTCTCTTTTAATTGTATATTTGTAACAACTGGATCATTTGTATTAACAAGCACCCACCCCCCTAGTGCCCCTTTTTTGATTTGGGCCACTGCCCCTCAAAATGTCTGTGCACGGCCCTGCTACAATCGCAAGCTTCTCAGCAGCACGGCAGACAGTAACCACTGTAGCATGAAAGAAGATTACAGCTAAAGTTTTGGAGGGTTACAGCTGTCATGAATTAGTAGGAAGTGTAGAGGCCCTTGCTTTGAGTGACTTTAGCACATCTGTGTTGGTGTGATCTTGGTCCACTCTTCTTCCACTCTCTTCCACAGTTCAGTAACTGTAGTGGGTTTCTTAGCCATAACTTTGTCGCCAAGGATTTTCTAGAGATTTTCCATCAGGTTTAGATCAGGACTCTGGGCTGGCCATTTCATTATTTCAATGTTCTTGACTTCAAGGAACTGCTTTATCCGTTTTGCAGTGTGATGGGAGCATTGTCTTGCATGAAAATTGCAGGCTGATTGGGAGATGCTTGCAGGGAAGGAACTTTGTTGCTGAAGATGGTTCTGACAAACATTTACATTCACCCTGCCATGTAGCTGTACTACTCCTGCTGCACAAAACGTTCTCCAAACCATGACACTTCCTCATCCACCTTTCACTGACTTCTTTCCGCACGTCTGGCAGAAATGATGGGTGGTTCCAAAATACATGGTCACGTGACAGTAAAAGTGTATACAGTTGCCAAGAAACAGGGGGTGGGTCAACTTACCCACTGGCTCAATTTACCCCAATCTCCCCTACTTCAATTGAAGATGAGGCAGAAGCAGGCTCAGAGAGGGAGGGAGGGCCCATTCTTATAAAAAAACATCTACGATAAAGTCTGAAATTATTACAGAGTGTGCTGTCTTCTCTTTTAATTGTATATTTGTAACAACTGGATCATTTGTATTAACAAGCACCCACCCCCCTAGTGCCCCTTTTTTGATTTGGGCCACTGCCCCTCAAAATGTCTGTGCACGGCCCTGCTACAATCGCAAGCTTCTCAGCAGCACGGCAGACAGTAACCACTGTAGCATGAAAGAAGATTACAGCTAAAGTTTTGGAGGGTTACAGCTGTCATGAATTAGTAGGAAGTGTAGAGGCCCTTGCTTTGAGTGACTTTAGCACATCTGTGTTGGTGTGATCTTGGTCCACTCTTCTTCCACTCTCTTCCACAGTTCAGTAACTGTAGTGGGTTTCTTAGCCATAACTTTGTCGCCAAGGATTTTCTAGAGATTTTCCATCAGGTTTAGATCAGGACTCTGGGCTGGCCATTTCATTATTTCAATGTTCTTGACTTCAAGGAACTGCTTTATCCGTTTTGCAGTGTGATGGGAGCATTGTCTTGCATGAAAATTGCAGGCTGATTGGGAGATGCTTGCAGGGAAGGAACTTTGTTGCTGAAGATGGTTCTGACAAACATTTACATTCACCCTGCCATGTAGCTGTACTACTCCTGCTGCACAAAACGTTCTCCAAACCATGACACTTCCTCATCCACCTTTCACTGACTTCTTTCCGCACTTGGGCTTCAGTTTTTCCCCAGTTTGATGCCAAACAAAATGTTTCCAATCAGACCCAAATAAATTGTGCTTGCTCTCATCACTAGAGTGAACTTTGGACCAGTTCTCCTTTCTCCACACAATATGCTCCTCAGCAAAGGTGAGCCTAGCCTTTTGATTCTTTCTGAAAATGAGAGGTTTGGTCACTGCAGAGTGCACTTTCAGTCCAACTTCTCTTAATAATAATAATAATTAGTTAAATTTATATAGCACTTTTCTGGGTACTCAAAGCGCTTTACATGAAAGCGGGGGAATCTCCTCAACCACCACCAGTGTGCAGCATCCACCTGAATGATGCGACAGCAGCCATATTGCGCCAGAACGCCCACCACACACCAGCTTATTGGTGGAGAGGAGACATAGTGATGAAACCAATCAGTGTATGGGGATGATTAGGAGGCCATGATGGTCAGAGGCCAATGGGCAAATTTGGCCAGGAAGCCAGGGTTATACCCCTACTCTTTTTCGAAGGACATCCTGGGATTTTTAATCGTTGAGAGTCTCAGCATTATCCTGTCTTCTCGTGCAATTGTCTTACGTGGACGAGCAGCCTTTTTGGGGGACTTGAATTAGTGTCATTGTAAAGCTGCAATATTTGAGAAGTCACAGATTTGGAATGATAAACTTCTCTTGCAATGGCTGAAAGGGTCATCCCTTTATCCTTCTTCTGGACAACCTCCTGCCACAGGCTTTCAGTCACCTTAGAGCAGCCCGCCATCTTGTAATGACTGAAAACTGGAGAAATGCTGCCAGTTAAATAGGGGTTGTCATATAATTAAGGAAATTAGCACCAGGTGCCAGATTAATAGCAATTACTTGGAGGTATCTGTAAGTGTTCTCTAATTTTGTTCTTTTTCAAAGATAGCATGTTTGTTCACAGAGGCCACACCCTGCCAGCCTAGGTGACTGACTGCATGTGTCCCTCGTGTCAAAATAGTCTGTGTTCTGGCAAAGCTAAAATTAATTTGATGGTTTATTTTGGATCTTTCTGTAGCGTATAGCTTGTGTAGGCCAGTTGAAGAGATGACAGTCCCCATTGGGGGAGGTTTTATTTCTCAGCATATTCAGTTGACAAAAATCATAACCTCAGCATCTGCGCGTTGTTTTACTTTGCTATTTTTGGAGACATAAAGTAGACATCAATGTACATAAAAATGTCATGCAGTACAGTAAAAATGTAGAGGTTTAAAGTTTTGTTCTTGCAATTATTTAATGTGAATTGTATGAGTTCACATTGAAAGCTCTTTTTGATTGCCAATTTTAGTATCTTGACACATCTAATGACACTTGTTGAGATCTCTTCTAAAACTCTAGAATAGACATATGTAAGATGCTGGGGATTGAATTCTTCTTTCCAGAAGAATTTCTTTTGGGGAAAATATAGACATTAAAGAAATCTCATTGTCATCTTGTGATTTTTTTTTTTTTAAATGCTGGAAAAGCACACTGTATGTGTGTTTGAGGCCTTGTCCATCATGTGCCGTGATGATGGTGATTGGACAGGCCTGTGACAGTAATTAAAGGCAGTAAATGAAGTTTTAGATATCTGAAGAATACAAATGGCTCCACAGAGCTGTATGGATGCAGCTCTCTTTGTCTTCTCAGACGCTGGTGAATATCACAGCATTGCTCAGGACTGCTGACACAACAGCAGTCACAAAAGCATAAAACATGTCAGTCAAACACCTACTGATAAAATGCTACAAGTGTACTAGAGACTTAATAACTGCATAATTAAATGCAAAACTTAATCTCAGGTTAAAATAAGTATATAAGGTTTCCATGTCTGAAATATGTCATGTTGCTGGGTGTTTTTATTTATTGTGTAGTATTTTGTCAGGTTGACAACTGTTTGTTTTATTGTACACTGTTGCACATGCAGTCGGCAATGTATATTCAGGCTGTATTTTTATTTTTGTTTTGCATCCAGCCACTAGGGGGAAGATGTCTCTGTGTGAGCTTTGTCTTGATCTCAGTGTCTCATGGTCTCATAAGACAGAAGGACATCATGATGACATCAGCATCTTTAAATCTGTAGATGTCCTTACTGAGCACTTAAACTTTGACATACAAAACAAGTTAGTTAGTTATTGCATAATACAATTCACAATAAACCATTCACTTATTATGCCATTGTCTGTCAGTTGTCATTGTGTCATTACTTTTAAAGTAAATTAATACTTAAATTTGGTAAGGATGTATTAATTTTTTATGTTACAAGACATGCCTATTTCAAATAAATACTGTTCTTTTCAATTAATCAAATAATCTATAGTTTCAACAACAATATTAAGCAGAACTATTAAAATAGAAATAGTTATTTCAAATTGTAATAATATTTCACAATATTACTGTTTTACTGTATTTTTGATCAAATAAATGCAGCCTTGTTAAGTAAACAATACTTAAAAAAAAATCTTACTGACTCCAAACGTTTGAACAGTAGTGTACATAATTAAAAAAATATATAAATATATTAAAAACAACTGGCCTCAAGTATTGACACTCTGAGTGTCCATCTTTAGTCAGTTCTGTTGGATGGTGTTTAGATGAAAGGTTTTTGAAATTAATTTAAATTAAAAATACCCACAAATGTGTCGTGGACCTCAGGAGGATAATCTTTTATTACCTTGTATACACATATGTGTGTGTGAGTGTTTGTGCTGCTACGGTTGACTGTTAGTACACTAGGTTATATAAGTGTTGTGTTTGTGAATTTTAGACTGATGCATCTGGCCTTCTATCTCTTCAGCCTGCCTTATACATTATTTGTGGACAGAATTTCCAAGCAGAATTTCAGTTTAATTCTGTGACTTCAGATCAAATGTTTTTAAATGTATAATGTATAAAAGGAATATTGCACTCAAAATCATTCTGTCTGAATATCAGCCATGCTCTTGAATATCAACAGCTCATTTGATTGTGTCATATTGTTTAAATGAATATCAAGAATATCAATATTCTTCTTCCTGTTTAAGACAGTGGAATGTACCAGACATTAGAGAGAGTGTTTTCATCTGAAAGTGTGTGTTTTTGTCCTCAGCTGAGAGAAGAGAGTCACATGGAGCTGACAGTTGAGGAGCCTGCCGCAGGAAGCACCGATACAGAGGTGAGAAACACACAAACACACACAGTCTTTCCACATTTTGTTCAGTATTCTGAAAGATGCAGATTGTCATATGACAGTATTTACACCAGCTTCGCATGAGTAATGTAGGCAGAGAGGTTTTTCCCTTTCCTACTCTGGATGATTTATATCCATTTGGAGGGACGCCTCAGACTGTTGATAAGTGCTATATCATTTAAACAGTGAGAGGTTTTAAGATGACTTTTTCATAACATAGCAATCCATTATCAAAATCAAAATGCAGGGACATTGAGTGTTTGTCACTTTGCTCGAGTGTTGAGTTTTTGAATGTTATAGACTCAATTATTGTTTCTATTGCTGGGTCTACAATGCAAGAAATAATAATTAAAAACAGTATTATTTATATACTATATAGTATTTATTAATATTTTTGAATTAACTTTTGTTGTTTCTGTTTTTACGTAAATTTTAGTTTATGCATTCACCATTTTTATATATATATTTTTTTAATATTTCTGTTTAGCTGTTTCATTTCTATTTCTGTTTTAGTAATTTTAGTTCAACTTCAACGTAATTTAAATGAATGAAAGAGAGCTTATTGTAGTATTTAACTGCAGTATGGAAGTGATCAGTGCAGCAGAGCTGATCGGTGACAGTAGCGTTCATGAGAGACTCGTCCTCTCTTGGAAAAAAACTTTCTTAATTACCTCTACACTAACTGGCAAGGGAACTCCATGCTCCATCGGGAATTTAAATATGGCAGAGAAAGAAAAAAATTATCTAAATTAAGCTTTCACCTCATTAAAACATCTAGTTTGAGTTCAGAAGTCTGAGACAGCTAGTGAAAATTGGACATTTTTAATGCATTCTCAGCATTCAATATTTAAAGTAAAATATTTTGGGAAACCTTTGGAACAGAGGGATTTAAAATGAGTCTGGCGTTGTTTGTCTGCATGCACTGTTAATGGGTGGCTGGGATCGAAGTTTGAGCAGTGTATTTGTGTGTGTGGAGCCTGTTTCTGCCTTTTCTGCCAGTGTAGCTCCCATCTTGGAGGTGTGTTGATCTCCCGTAATTGCCACCGCTGTCTTAACTCAACTAGCTTGGATGCTCTCAGCATTTACCCAGCAGTGAGAAACACCCATACATGCAAGAACACATGCTTCTATTCTAAAAACCCATTTCTGAGCTACAAGGCATTGCAAAAGCAAACCTATTTTAGCCCATATCACAGAGGGTGACACATTGTGTAATTGCACTGACCTTGTGTCAATATGAATTCAGTCGTGCTTTATAATATTATGAGCCATCAGTTAGTCGATCTGTGTTGAGTGACCCACATATACTCAAGACCAAAGCAAGGACTCTGAGTTTGAGACATCTGTGGCTTTCAGTGTTGGGCAAGTTACTCTGAAAATGTAATCAAATTACTGATTACTCCTTTTAAAAGTAATCACGTTACTGTTCTGATTACTTTATTTCAAAAGTAATTAGTAATTAGCTACATTACTAGTTACGTTACTTTTTCCTCCATGAAATTAATGAAATCCCAGCATACACCTTCCCGATAAATATTTGTTATTAAAGCATCAACATTCACAGAACACTGTTCTTTTTAACTAAAGCAAGTGGCTGCTGCGTGCATGGTTTGGCATGGCAGAATGCCAGCAAAGAGCGCTGCATTTATAATCTCTAAAAGACACCTCAGTTCATCGCAATCTCACAAATCTCTGTTATAACACAATAAATACAGTATATGCATAATTCATCTTTCATAATGTCTACAATTCGTGTGTTATAATGAGAGGATTCATGAGCACGCAAATTTCAGCACTGCATTGCTCAACGCTGCAAACACGTGTTATAGCCTAAATAGAAACTCTGCATACACTTGCACCTGTTAATCGTTTATATTTTATATTAGTTCATGTTGCTTTTGTGCAATAGATGAATAACAATTTATTTGTTTTAGATATTTTATGTTTAGATATTTCTATTTTGCGGGAGTCCCGTGAATCATTTTATTCTCCCGCATCTTGCACACACACGAGTCTCTGCACTCGCCTATCAAGTCTTGTCCCGCGCCGCGCACTGTTGCGTCGGGTCTCGCGGGAGAGCAGGTCTCTAATCCTCTGGCACTTGACTCGACAGTGCGTGTGCTACATCCTTTTTACAATCTCTAGATTAGAAATCACTGGATTCTGTCAGCAATGTAACGCGGCAGTAACGTATGAGACCTCGGCTATTTTGCAAATTATAATGCGTTAAATTACTCTACTAAAAGTAATCAAATTACAGTAATGCGTTACTAAGTAATGCGTTACTGCCCAACACTGGTGGCTTTTATGTTTTTGAAAAGAGGGCATAGCCAATTATAGGCAGACACAAAGACAAACCCAAATATAGCAGGAATAATACAGAAAGACTAGATCTGTAGAAGTCCAGACAACTGGATGGAGGTTGAAACGAGAGCTTTCACTTTTTCTGAATGAATCTGCGGCGACTCCCTCTTTTGTTTTTCATGTGGGACACCTGAGTGTCTTGAGGTCACTTGGAACATCTCGCTCGTAGATTCACACACACTGAGTCCCTGTGGCTCTACCAGGTGTCATGTCTGCACACATGAGAGAGCAGCACTGCCCGCAGGTGTGCCATCTGTAAACGTTTACAACAGCTCTGTGCCTTAGGTGCTCAAAAAATCACACACACACATACACAATACACATAGCTTTGTTGTTGAGTCAGATTGCAATGGTGTGTCCTGCTAAATCAGAGTCATCCATAGAAAATGAGCTTACGCTGAAATAGAGATGGAGTTGTAGACACAAAGCCTCTGGCCAAAATAAAAGGCTAAAAAGTCTTAATCTTGCTTACCCAAGAGGTTTTCTTTGTGTGTATCCTTGTCTTCATTAAAAAAAAAAACACATAGCATGGATTGCAGGTCAGTCCTGCTGACCTGGGGATGGGTGATATGAGGGTAAAGAGGGCCTGAATGATGAGCTTAAACTCTTAGTCCTAAAGTTGTTACAAAGAAAAATAAACAGTAATTAATATAATATAATATAACTTCAGCTGAGTTGTATTTATACTAAAATGTGCGCCACCAAAATAATTTCCTTAATCAGTATTGTTGTTTTGTTTTTCCAGTAAAAATATTTAAACATCTATTAAACAAAATAAATTCACTTGTAAAACAAAATCATATAACATCATAATTGTATAACATATCTTTAAATTTTTTTCTTGCCCCATTGTTTTATAATTTTGTTGTCTTGTACACATACATCGAACAAAATGTAATGAGGATTATGCCCAAAGAAAAACAATAATAATAAAAATTACATGAACTATACATTACCGTTTAACACTTTGGGCTCTTTTGGAATTTTTAAAAACTTTTTTGATAAGAGTCTCTTATGCTTACCTTGGCTGCATGTATACGATTAAAAAATATAGTAAAAAATAAATATTGGCCAATATTATTATAATTTGAAATAAATGTTTTCTATTTTAATATATATTTTTTAAATCAAATTTATTCCTGTGATGGCAAAGCTGAATTTTCAGCAGCCATTATTCTTCAGTGTCACGTGAACCTTCAGAAATCATTGTAATTTGCTGATTTGGTGTTCAAGAATAATTTTTTTATTATTATCAATATTTAAAAAGTTGTTCTGTTTTATATATATATATTTTTTATTTTATTTAATCAAATTAATGTCCTTGTTGAATAAAAATATTATTTTCTTTAAAAAAAATTTTTTTATTTATACTGAAAAACACAACAAAAATACTGATTAAGAGAATTATTTTTGCTATGGGGTGCATTTGCTGCAAACAGTTAGACACAAAAGTAATTTGCAAATGAAAACTTGAGCCCACAGCAGCTACAGGCTATTTTGTTAATTTTTTAATTAAGTTCTAGCTGTTTTTTTTTTTTTTTTGTCTGGAAAAGATTGACAACTTTGTTTCTATTTTTTAGAGTCCTATTCTAGTCCTTTAGTAATTTTTGTAAACTTTTGAGAATGTGAGGGGCCTCTCTTCTGAAGGAGGGGATTAGCATCGTTAGCATAGTGGACAGTTTGGTAATAGTTTGCTGAGAGTTCATGTAAGGAGAACACAAAACAGAACTTGGCACTAAAACAAAGACTCCCTCGCCAAGTTCACGTTTGAGCATAAGAGCTTCTGTCTCAATGTCCTGCCGACCTCGTTTCTTAATTATTCCCCATGTCTTTGGGAAAGTGTTGTGGAGAGGAAGTTAAAGCACTCGGCCTATAATGTGATCACTCAAAGCGGCTTTGAGGCCCATCTGCTGAAGGGCTTAGTGTGTGTGTATTTGAGAAGTGAGGCGTAGACAAAGTGTGTGCAGCAGCTATTGAGATGCTAGATGCAGAATGAAAGCCATGATCAGGGGGCTGTTTTGCGAGGAGTTGGAACTTGAGGAGAGGGCAGTGTACAGACAGCAGGTAAGACTAACAAGAAGAAGAGCAAGATAAGAAAGATAGCAGGTAGGGATGCACCAAAATGAAAATTCTGGGCTGAAACCGAAACTGAAAATTCTGGATACACTTGGCCGAAAACCAAAACCGAAACGGAAAATGCTTTGTAATAATTATTTTATTAAATATTAAATATTATTAGTAATTTTGTAATACTTTTTAATTTAACTCAATAATTTCAATGACACTGAAAAAAAAAAAAAAACACAAGCCAATAAAATAACCACACTTTTATTGAAAGTAACACAATAAAATAGGACAGAAAATATATTAATATTAAATATCAATATATAATTTTATTCACTTTTATGCAACAGAATCAGATATAATTTATTTTTGACTAATTATCCAAATAATGAATAGTCCTACAAAGCTATTATTATCAAAGTCTTTGAGCAGAACATAGTGGTGAACGAGAGTCATTTTACCAGCATTGCCCAGTACAGCTGTACTACACCATATACAGCACAATAGCGCTACTATAAACAGGAACAAGTACTACATAGAAATTTCCTGTCGGTGCA